TTTTTTTTTTTTTTTGTTTTCTATAATTAATCTTGTATGTGAAAATATTAAAGCGGCCCTGTACTGAAAATTCTGGCTCCTCCTTTGCTTACTTTAGTTCACTATGCTTCAAATTAAGAAGATGTGTCTTGTCCAGCTGGCAATTTGCGATCATTTTGTTTCTGTGTATCCTCTATATTTGGTTTGGATTTGTCTTGCTTTACTTCTGTATAGTTAAACATTCACTCTGGATGAATGGACATCTTTAGCTTTATTGTCGACCAATAATTCAGTTAGTAAAATAACTGTGACCTGCCCTCAAGTTTTATTCATTCTATAACTGTTCTACTGTGGAAAAGCTTTTGTCACCTCCTCAGGAGTAACTTGTTTTTACCTCAGAAGCAATAACTTCTGCATATATGACATCCTGTGTAGGTCATTGATTACAAAACCCAACAAAGCAGACTTTTTCCTTTGCTGGCTTCTGCTTACGCCTTCAGATTTGTTGGAGAGTGGCTTGAATGGCTTTACATGGATGTAACAAGAAGACTGAAAGACAACGACTTCTCGACTTTGCCTGAGGCTCATGCATGCACTGCAGGGTTGAAGTCCCTGACTACATCTGTCACCGCTGTACGTTACAAATGGCATTCATCTATATTTTTTGTCTTCAAAACACGGCTCATGGGTACTAATATATTAAGGTTTTGTTCTCTTTGGAATTTCGCTGGTACACATATGTAGAATGATGCACAGATAATTTTTTTTTAAGAGCAAAGGTTCTACTAATTGAATAAGTATGTTTTATTTTACTTTTTCAGTCTTTTAATCATCCTTTGCTCCTTGCCACAGGACGGCATTGAAGAATGCCGGAAGTTATGTGGAGGCCATGGTTACCTTTGTAGCAGTGGCCTACCAGAATTATTTGCAGTATATGTGCCGGCTTGTACATATGAAGGAGACAACGTTGTCCTGCAACTACAGGTAGTTCTTCTTATATGTGCGTCTCTAATGTTTATTAGTGACTAATACTTTCTTTTCTCTTTATCTTTTTCCTGGTGTACTTGATTGGAGCGTGTAGCTGAAGGCCATAGTTAGTTGTTGACCTTGATCACTGTCGCTGGTAATATGTATGTCCAGACTGAAATAACTGATGCAACTCTTCTTTTGGATGTCATAGGCTCTGGCTACTAAAGTCGTTTTTTTAACTTTTTTGAATATGGATATGCTTATCTGGTATATTGTTCCCTTTTTTTCGCTTTTGGAACTTCCAAGTTGACTTGGACTTCTTATTTTCTATTTTTATTTTGCACAATTCCTCATAGCTAATTCTGTCAAAGTTTTTTTTTTTTTGGTTCATTAGATTTGTGTTTCATTTTCTCTATTTAGAATAAACATATATTAGCCTGCTATAAATGAAAGAAAAATAATGTTTAGTATCTTCTTTAAGAAGGGGCAAGGATTAATAAAGTGAAGCATGTATCTTTTACCCCCCGGTTATATAGCAGTTTAGCTTCTTCTTTAAGAAGGGACAAGGATTGATAAAGTGAAACATGTATATTTTGCCCTCCAGTTGGATAGCCTGTGAAATTGCTAGCTGCAAGCATGTTTTTTCTGTACATAGCTTTACTCCCGTAGTCCCATTTTTCCTGGTGCAATTTTCCTTTTCATCTTTGTAAATTTAGCGTGGAATACAAGTATAGAATTAAATACACTGGAACATTTTTAGTTGTTGGACAGTTCAATGGTTACACCTTCCGTATGCAAATTTTGAAGTTTCATGAATTCAATTTAAGTCTTCCGTATGCAAATTTTGAAGTTTCATGAATTCAATTTAAGTTATTCATTGTGTGTAAACACAGCATATCCTTTGTTATAAGTTACTTTTTAGCTTGTCATCTATATTTTCTCATGTAGGTTGCTAGGTTTCTCATGAAAACCGTCTCCCAGCTTGGGAGTGGCAAACAGCCTGTGGGGACCATTGCTTATATGGGAAGAATCGAACATCTAATGCAATGCCGGTGTAATGTACAAAAAGGTATGCTGCTATGTTATATGTACAATTGTTAAATTGGACCATAAAAAATACAAATTGTCAGAAGATGCACTCTGCATGTTTATAGTTCGATTAGCAGGGCTTTCCTTTCCAACCCACCCCAAAACCTACTGCTGCTAGTAGTTTGTGATAAACATAAATATAAACAAGATATCTACTACTTCGTATGAATAATGTTTGAGTCACATGCAGCTGAGGATTGGTTAAAACCTGATCAAGTATTGGAAGCATTTGAGGCAAGAGCAGCTAGAATGTCTGTATCCGTAGCTAGGAACCTAAGCAAGTTTGCCAACCCTGAAGAAGGTACTCTATGCCTATCGGTTGCTTAATTTTTTTATGGCCTGTAGTTTGTTTATGATAAGCTTTGTAAAATTGTAAATGTGAACGAGTTTGCTTTATTAAAGTGAAACCACTTTATAAATTGTGGCTGAAAATGGCCTGCGTAAGTGAGTGGAGAACTGTGGAATTAGATGCGTACAAGTTTTTGTGTAATATTAGTACCTTAACAATTGGGAGTTAACTGCTTGAGCTAAATTCTGATCAGTTCATGTCTTGTAAATGTTTTTCTACCTTGTATCATCCTTGTCTAGGCTTTGCAGAGCTGTCGGCTGATTTAGTTGAGGCAGCAGTTGCTCACTGCCAGTTAATTGTTGTCTCCAAGTAAGCTTTTTGTTTATGCTTTCTTTTCTTCTTCTTCTTCTTCTTTTATTTTTTACCCCTTACAATTGATATTGTGAAGGATATAATGGTGATGAGGTCAAGGGACTAAGTTTGATTGATCTTTTCCACTTAATTAATGCTTTTAAACCTTGAAGTGACTGTAAACTTTTTCTGCACCACTGTGCAACCTGTTGCAAACTGTAGACTGTTTTTGTTCTCTGGGAATCTGGTCCAAATTAGTCGATCGTTTTGTATCAACTAAAAAATTCAAAGAATATTGGTCTCTTAGGGTCATAGCCAAATAATTTGGTGAAAGTCTATCAAGGGGCATCTTTTTGGACTATTTATGGAAATATAATTGGTCCAGTCCTATATGAACTTGCATGATTTTGTATTTTCTGGGGTTAGCTACAAAATTTGTCCTTGTCATTTGATATAACCTTTAATCATGAGAAACAACTAATACTTCCTTAAAAATTTTAGAAATCTACAACTACCTGTTATTATGCTGCAAAATTACAAGCATTGACGTACGGTGCTTACAATCACACCATTGAGATTTATATTTATCTCGCAAATGCTTTTTTTTTTTTCATGAGGGTACCATAAATTTTGACATAAAGGTTTCCATAAAACGATTTGTTACTGTATAAATTGTTGTTTTTGAAGTTGTTATGATGTGTAAAATGCTACTGCATGCATATTATGTCAGAAGTATATGTCACCCATTATGTTCACGTTGCATGTACGACTAGTTTTCGTGTACATTTTTGTTACCCAACGGAACTTGCTCCACCCGAGCATATTGATGTACATATGGGCTATTTACCAGAGCACTTTACTTAATGACCAAAAGGGAAAAAAAAAAAAAAAATCAACCCCAATGTTTTGTATGTCGAGCTTTGTTTTGTAAATGTCAATCACCTAGACTCGCTTCTCATGAACAATTTTTTTTCCCCTTTCAGATTTATCGAGAAGCTACAGCAAAATATTGCGGGCGAAGGTGTGAAGCAGCAGTTAGAAGCACTTTGTGGTATCTATTACCTCTCTCTTCTCCACAAGCACCAGGGTGATTTCCTGTCCACGAGTTATCTCACGCCTAAGCAGGCTGCACTTGCTAATGATCAGCTTAGATCATTGTATACCACGGTTCGTATCTTATGATATTACTTTATGTGCACGCCCTTCATTTTGCAAGCCTTATAAAACCTGAGAAACTTGTAATTCCAAAGAAAAAACTCGAAAAAGCGGATAAGCTAAATGAAACCACCTAAAATCTTAAAAAAGTAAGTGCATGCTTTGGTACAAGTTTTTTTTTNNAAAAAAAAAAAAAAAAATCTCAAATCAAATCTAACTCAACATCAATTCAACTCAACTATATTCAATATTATCTTCAATATTATCAGTATATTTAAGTAATATCAATCAACTGTCCTTACGTTCAACTTTAATTCACTATTCATCCGTTCACATAGTTTTAATTATCTGTCACTTCCAATTATCCTTCTTCTATAATTTACATCAAATCAACTTTAATTATTTTATTTTAAATATTATTTTCTAACCCAACATTTTTTCAAAATTAATTTTGATTAACCAAAAAAAAAAAAACTTATAAACATGCAAGTCCCAAAGGAATCAATGATTGAAGTTCGAGCTTACTCTCCAACACGAGTTTTTTTCTACTGCTAATTGTCGTCTTCTTTTCTTTTCTGAAGGTTCGTCCGAATGCTGTCTCTCTTGTTGACGCGTTCAATTACAGCGACCATTTTCTGAACTCGATTCTTGGCCGTTACGATGGAAATGTTTACCCGAAACTTTACGAAGCAGCTTGGAAGGACCCTTTGAACGAGACGGTACTTCCTGATGGTTACCACGAGTATGTGAAGCCTTTGCTTAAGCAACAGCTTCACACCGCGAGGTTGTAGAGTCTTATTTAAATTTGGTGACATCTCAAAATCGTTTGATCCGAGTGCATCAGTTAAAATGGGATTAGTTCTCTTGATAGACAATTGGCTATTTTTTTTAGTTTGGACTTGTGTGTTGTTAGCCCTGCCATTTTAAGTAGTGACATGGAAATAAGTAAACTTGGGCGTGGCTGCCATTGAAATAGAAACATATACATGTCTGTAATAAATTATTATTTTTTCGTTTTCTTTTGCTTTTTGTAATAATAATTACATTTGGTGAAAGGCAAAGATTTGAACTCGTAACATGCAGGTTTAAGTCTATGGTCTTCACGAGACTTGTGAGTTGTGTCTTGTGAGCAAACAAGCCCATATACGCGTACTTGCCCAGCAGGTCTGTGTTTGCTCATACTCTGTTGATCTGTCGTTTCTCAAATTCGGCTCTCCCAGCAGGTTATACTCTATTGATCTGTCGTTTCTCAAATTCGGCACGTTCAGTTTCGAGCACAACACTATTAGGTCTAATTCGTGTATAAGAATAAAAGGTTTTCAAATTCTTGTATGAGACCACCTAATTATCAGATGAGTCGATTTGTTATACATTTTATAAAAAAAAAGAAATGTATATTTATGTTATTTGAAGTATTTTACTTTTATTTAGTTCTTTGAAACCAAAAGTTGAATGAAATCGATTTTTTTTTAATGCTAAACTGATGTTATTTATCAAAGTATGATATTTAAGCTTGAATATATACACATGTATGTTGAAAAATATATGGTGGTAAATTTTACTTATAACTACTATTCAAAGCACATACTACTTTTAACAATGGTCATTCATTTGCTTACATATTTTAATTATCGATTATTAACAGTTACATTTAGTTTAATTATTAGCATGCTCTAATCATTATCTATTTATCTTAGATAAAAAAAAAAAATCACTTAAAAAAAGATTATATAATATATTTTTATTTTTTAATCTTTTGACGAGATAATTTTTTTTTTTATATATTATTATTTCATTGACCTTCTATTGAATTAGTTGATAGTTTATTATATCAACAAATAACATATACTAAATTGTATTAGTTGATTTGACTAGCACATTTTATTAGCCGTTTGTCAACTAAGCATTTGATAAAATATGTTACGTTTGTATTATCCTTTTCCAATCATCTCTTTCCAAAACAATGTTCTTTCGAGCTATTATAGAATCAGCATTTGAGTCCACAAAATAATCAAATAACCTTGTTATCAAACACATTAATTAACCAATTTGATTGGTCAAACTTAATTTTGCACCAAGTAATTGAATTAAAGGGACATGCTACGGTCCCGTTACGGAACTATTCCGTCGGGATTTGCAACCGTTAGATCAACTATCCCGATGGTTACATGATGATATAACAGTTACAAACCCGACGAAATGGTTCCGTAACGGGACCATAGCATTTCCCGATTAAAATTAATTAGGGGGCTGAAGTGGTGTGGTAGCTGGGATATGCATGTGCGGCCTTTACTAACCCGGCAGCTCCTCCCACCCACCACTGCCCTCAATTAACTGACACAAAATTACTACACAAATTCCACACCCATTTAAAACTACCCCACCTCAAATATCCACACTCAATTAATAATACAAACTCTATACATACATATATATGATATCAATTTGCAAATGGCTGATGCAAATGGGGTCAACAAAGGAGCATGGACTGCCGACGAAGACCAGACACTAACACACTTCGTCGAAAAACACGGCCCCAGGCGGTGGAAATCTTTAGCTATCTTATCAGGTAATTTTTATTTATTTTTTAATTGCGTTTTTTTATAATATTTGGTGTGTTGTACGTAACATTGTTGAAATAATTCAGGATTGAATAGGTGCGGAAAGAGTTGTAGACTGAGATGGTTGAACTATTTGAGACCCGACATCAAGAGGGGCAACATTTCCGATGCCGAGGAGGACTTGATAATAAGGCTTCATCGACTCCTCGGAAATCGGTACGTGCATATACATGTGCCCAATGCATAACTAAATTAACATTTTACGTGACTACGTGTAATTTCAATTTAATTTACATATAGGTGGTCCTTGATCGCGGGTCGACTTCCCGGGAGAACTGACAACGAGATAAAGAACTATTGGAACGCTCATCTGAGAAAGAAAGCCAAGTCGTTATCAATGGACAAACTACCGGTGCAAGCCGCTACTAGTGCAGTTGATCAAGAAATGTTGCAAAACAATCTACATGATGATGATGATGACGACGATGATGAAGGTGATTGTGATGGTGATGATGAGGAGAGTAGTAGTAGTCGGCTGGTGGAGCTGAGCTCGGATATTGGGGACGACCGATCGTTTGATTGTACGACAGGAGGATCGTATAGGTTGGATTGGGTCAAAAGTTTTCTTGAACTCGAGGAAAATGATCCTTAGGTCATGCTCGATATGGTATGACGATCGATGGTTTGTAATCAATTTGTTGATCTAATGGACACCATTTGGTTAGAAAATGTTTACAGTTCATGATATTTTGGGCTACAATGAACTTGTGTATTAAGGATAAAATTTATGGAAATTTATCATGGGTATTATGTCATTTTGAAGTGTAATATATGTATAACACACCATGTTTTAATTACCATCAGTTGGTAGTAAGCTAAACTATCAATTTAAGGCTCCAAACATATTTTTAAGAAAATAAATAAAAACATCTTAATATATTGTGTATTAAGGATAAAAATTTATGGAAATTTTATCATCGGTATTGATATAGCACAAGAGAGCACTTTGGATAGACCGGCAGAAATCAACTCGGTTTATTAGTCGGGAATGTGTTTGCAGGATTGTTGGTCGGCCAGATGTAATAGTCTGTTAATGTACGGGCTCGGCCCAATAACAAATCGGCCAGATGAATGGGTCAGGTAGGTTGAGGAGGTGGACTAGCACTTAAATGGGCTTGACAGTTATCACAACAGCGGATGAAGAAGCAAGCGTGGAGAGGAAGCCAAGGACTTACATATAAATAGGTAAATCAGGTATGATGAGAGGGTTAAGTTTCTTTACCTCATAAAAAACCCTAATATACATACTGATCTTTCCGAGATACCTCACTAACTTGAGCGTCGGAGGTTTACCGCCGGAAACACTTCCCGACGTCTTTGCAGGTTTTGGAGGGCACAAGCGGTTGGGTTCAAGGAGAGTCAATCCAGCGTGCAAAAGCACATCAGGTATGTCATTTTAAAGGGTAATAAATGTATAACACACCATGTTTTAATTACCATCTGTCCGTAATAAGCTAAACTAATTTAAGACTCCAAACATATTTTTAAGAAAATAAACAAAACATCTTAATATAAATAAATAACCAAAAATAGATGAAAGAAGCTAGTAAATTTTTGTACACCACATCAATTATTAAATATAAAATCTATAAATAATCTTTTTTATTAGACTATGTTTGGTAGACAAATAAGCTAGCTTATAGCTTATTTAGTTAGTTTATAAGCTCTCTGTATTCAAATAAGTCTCGTTTGGTAGGACGAGTTTTTTTAAAATGCTCGAGCTTATTTGATAAACTTCTTTAGGTAGCTTTTCAAATAAGTTAGTTGAATTTTTTATTCCAGCTAGCTTATCAGCTAATTTTACCAAACACTTTTATCATATAAGCTAGTTTATCAGCTATAAGTTAAAAAATTACTGATAAGCTATAAGTTAATTTATCAACTAGTTTTACCAAACATAACCTTTAATACGAATAAAAAACGAAACAATAAAAAAAAAAATCAATCTGTCCCGCTCGGGCACAAAAATAAACATGAGATAAAATTTATTTTGTCATCAAACATTAGAATCATCTAATAAACATGAGATAAAATTTATTTTGTCATCAAACATTAGAATCATCTACAGTGATAATGCAAGCTGGTGTAATTTTTTTTTTTTTTACTCAAACATTAAGGTTGTCGGTTCGGGTAGTTTGGTTATCTATATCTATATATATATAATTGCTAGGTAATCATTAAATAAAATCTCATAAATAAAACCTAATTAATAAAACCTCATTTATTTTCCCTCCAAAAGAAGTTACAAAATTTGTCATATTAATACACTTTATTAAGTGTAATCATGTAAAAAATTTAATAACATTAACTATTATTAATATAATAGCAAAAAAATAGCATTAACTACTATAATAATACTAATACTAATAATAATAATAATAATAATAATAATAATAATAATAATAATAATAATAATATCTTGAAACAATAAAATTGTTTATACTTATGTAATTTATATTTAGTGTGAAATATTATGAGTTGGTAATAGCATTAACTATTACATAATATAATATCAAAAAAAATACATGATTACACTTAATAGGGTGTATTAATGTGAAAGGCAAAATATGAATGACAAATTTTGTAACTTCTTTTGGAAGGAAAATAAATGAGATTTTATTAATTAGATTTTATAAATACATGATTACACTTAATTAGGTTTTATGAATGATATTATTATTATTTTAATTTTGTATTTCATGAAACAATTTTCTTTAGAAACAATTAGTAAATAATTTTAATAGTATAGTAAAAAACTTTAAAATCTTATAAACAATTGTCGTTGTAATAAGAATAGTAATAATATTATAATAATAATAATAATAATAATAAAGTTTTCAAGTGAATTATTTGACCTTGATCCCTCCAAATTATAAAAATTACATTACCCACAATTTTTTAATCAATATAGTGATTCGTATGTACTCAAATAATTTATATAAATATTATTTTATTTTTACTAATGATTAAATCTTGAAAATGTGGTATGTCCATTATCTAGAATTTTAATATTAAATTTACATATCTTGAAAATGTGATATGTTTATCATCTATAATTTTAATATTAAATTCACAAATATTACTTATAAAATTTTATGTACATCTGTGCATGTGCACAGGATGATAACTAGTTGGTGATTAATTTTGAACCTTTGAAATTGTTGGGCGCTCCACCTGACAAAGTTCGGTGAGCCGATTTTCTCTATTATGTGTAACGTCCCATTTTATTTATAAGAGAAAAATAGCATTTGTATTTCTGTATTTAGCTCGACTTTTTTTAATTAAATCGTTTAAATCCAAAAATTGAAATAAATAGATGTCTTCGTCTGTTTAATTCGCCAATCCAAAATTTAAAATTAATTAGATATCCTCGTCTACTTAATTTTTTTAAGTGCTTATTTGTTTATTACCTTGCTTAATTGTTTTCTTAAATGTTTATTGCCAATTGATTGTATTTTATTTTTATTTCTAAGATTTATTAAGTTAAGCATGCCTAAAGTTTTCGGAAGGATTAAGATAAGTTGGCCCATATTAATTTTATTGCCTAAGTTTTTTTTCCTGAAAATTATACGTTGAGCTCGGACATCTATATATATATAATTACTGGTAATGAACATTTAAGAAAACATCTTAAATTATACTTATGTATCATTTTCCCGCCAATTTCTGTTACTGTTCATTTTTTTTTCTTTGATAAAAACTACTCAATTTGGGAGAAGAGTTGACTGTTTTAAAAATGGCAACAAAATTAATTCTGCATTCATAACAAGTTAATGAAAATGTTCCCAGATTTTTTTAAACATATTAATTAGTCTCAACAATTATCATTAATTATTTTCTTAATTGCAATTATTTTTTCTATGCATAGTAATTTATAAGAAACTAATGAAAACAAATAAAAAATTACATATCAAAAATACAACCAACCAAAAAAATAAATTAAAAGTTTAAAAAAATCAGAACCTCCTTCTCCTCGCAATTCCTGCAAAAAAAAATTACAGATCAACTAAATTAATTAATTATAATTATCAAATTACAATTCCGAAATTGAAGTCGAAATCTCAAAATAGGAGGCAGGAATCCAAAAAGATGCGGGGTTTCCGAAATTTAAAAAAATGCTCTGATAATTATTTAGACAAATTCCAAGAATCAATATCCCACATTTTTTCTCATCTTATAACTCTAATAAAAATTAAAATTTAAATATCTCATATTTTTTGCAAATCTCATAACTCCAATTAATATTAAATATTAAATGTGGCCGGTCAATATCCCATATTTTTGTCTCATCTCATAACTCTAATAAAAATTAAATATTAAATATCTTTCTTTTATACATTACAACCAGCTTAAATACTGTTTTCAATATTATAATCATTTTTCCATGAAATCGTGAAATTCAAAATAATGAAATTTTAACCAATAAAAGTTGATCTGGTATTTATGATATATTCTGTACATGAAAAAAAAAAAAAAACTATATAAACCCCATTCACAATATTCATTTGTCATTTTCAAAGACATCAAAAGACATACACAAAACAATATTTAAAAGAACTTTCTCTACCAAACTCTACTACCACTCAAAGCATACAACAACCCCAACATCATACATCGCAAGTCAGGGTTATCAGGATATAACAAATTGACCATCAAAAGCAGCAGACAAGAAAGCACACAAGATAGATGATGCCTTGGGAAAAATCAGTAAAATATTTTGGTGATATATATAGATTAATACCTTTTGCTGCTCCATACACTCAAATGATCCTGCACGTTGTGTATAGATAGTACACTCCTCTTTATCCATTGCAACTCGATTCCAATAATAATATCTACAGTCACGAAAAGAAGTGTTATATGAATGTTGTAATACAATAAACATATATTGAAAGAATGTTACTTATCTGATGTTTAAGAGTACAGTATGAATGTAGATATTTTATACACTACTTCACAAAAAGAATGATACTTATGATTCAGAGTACAAAATAGGAGTAAATAGGATAAGAATGACTGTATGTATGTGTTACATTAGATCCAATATAGATAATATCATTTCATACAGACCTAACCTACATATTTTATAGTAAACATAGGAGTGTATATATTACTTGCGATTATTTCAATCACAATATATGTAACAAACATTAGGTTTGACATATAAAGAACAAAAAGAAAGCAAATTAAATCAATTTACCTTTGTTACTACTGTCATTACTTTTATTCCTAAGAAGAAGAATCATGTTAGAGTAGCAGATTTTAGACCCATTAGTCTTTGCTCAGTTGTGTACAAGTTAATTGCTAAAATCATTGCTAATAGATTGAAACTTGTGCTCCATGTGTGCATTTCTAAATCCCAATCAGCATTTGTGCATGGTAGGCAGATATATAATGTGATTATGGCCAATGAATGCATTCATTTCATTAATAGCAAAAGAAAAGGCAAGCAACATTACATGTTAGTGAAACTTTATATGGCCAAAACTTATGACATGGTAGAATGGAGTTTCTTAGCTAGAATCTGTAGAAAGTTTGGATTTTCTGACACCTTTATCTCCTGGATTCTAGCTTGTGTATGTTCTGCCTCTT